AACAGGTGTCGTCTGTGAGAAAGCTCTAAAGTTGTCCGTGTCTTTCATATGGAGGTGGCAGGAGCAGGGGTGGGAAGGTGTTAGAATCTCTAATCCCACAGACAAGGCAATGACATGATCAAGTTTATGAAATAAAGGATGTTAATGCTGCTGAAACTTTAGAAGAATTCAAATCAGTGCCTGGACTATTGACCCTTGGTATCCAGGATGATATAGGACCCGAGGGATATTTCCCCTCAATGACTCAGTTGTAAGATGACACTGTTCTTTCGCACTCGTACACGAAGGCTAGCTAGTTAAAATACTGTACTGGTTCATTCAAGAAGTATTTATTGAGTCTCTGCTACATACAAGGCATCATGCAAACACTGTGTACTGTTACATAAAGATTTTAAAAATAGATTGACATAAATAAACATCATGATTGGATTATGTAGTCATTCAGATGATGTTGACTATTTGGATAAATTACATAGAGCTGCTAGTTCTAACATTTTGGGTAAACTGACTTGGTTTTTTGGATTTTCTTCCATATAAATTCATTCATTGTCAATCTCTATTTTTGAATATGACTTGAGCTTGGAAGGATCTCCCCTGGAGAGGGCAAACAGGGTCAAAATCCAGTCTATTTCTGCCTTCCCAAGCCATATGACCTGGCCTAGGCCAGTGTGCACCCACAAATGGCCTTTGTGGGTTAGCTAGGACCCTGCTTGTGTCCTACATTGTTTCACAGACCAGAAACAGAATAAATAGGCTTAATCCCATATTTGAATCAACAAAATTGACAACAAGGACACATCTAATGGCATGTATAGATGCTTCTGATCTTTTTACATGGTAAATTTCTCATGTAATCATCATATTCATAAATCAATACTCACATATTTAGTGGGGGGGGGGGTTTCTTCTTCAGCCATGCCAGCCATGAGAAATGAAGAACAAGAAATGTTGAACAAGAAGGCTACAGTGAAAGTCCCAGGATGTTGCCTTGGAGACAATTGTTTGGGCTTCTTCCTGGGAAACACCCATCCCCAGTCTTTCCAGAAATATTATGTACAGGGTACCTGAGGGTTAGAGGGGCTGTATGAACTAAACCTCTGGAAGGCATCCGTATCTCCCCTTGGGTAGAACTTGGCCTTCCTGGTGGTCAAGACTCAAAGATGAATTCATCAGAAATCTCAGGCTGCAGAGGAGCTATTGGTTAGCTCCCATGTATATGCTCTTCTTACAATGTAATTTTTATAATCTATCCACTGAGTGTTGGGGTTTATGACACCTGTTCTTAAAACTGAGCAGGATTGTGTGACTTTCTTGCTTAAGAATATTACAAAAGTGATATACATCTATGGATTTCCAAGTCTAGGTAATAAAAACATGTACTTTTTGGTGTGTATATGTGTGTGCCAATACTAGGGCTTGAATTCGGCCTGGGCACAGTTCCTTAGTTTTTCCATTCAAGGCTGATGCTCTACCATTTGAATCAAAAAACCACTTCCATTTCCTTTTTTTTTTAGGAAGGTTAATTGGAGATATGAGTCTCATGGACTTTTCTTGCTTGGGCTGGCTCTGAACTATGGATCCTCAAAACTCTGCCTTCTGAGTTGCTAGGATCATAGACATGAATCACTGGTGTCAGGCTAATATTATGTACTGAGTTTAAGCTCCAGTACTAATGTGCACACACACACACACACACACAGAAAAGAAGAAAAAAAGAAGAGAAAAAAAAAAAAAACAGAGAAAACCCCTCAGAAATAAGGGGAGAATCAGAATGTGAAAATTGTGGGAAGGAAGACAGAGAAAAGGGAGGCCAGATTCCCAACAGCAAAGTTCAAGAAGCTTCTGATAGAAAAGTTGGCCTAGGAAAACCTGACTTCCATACTGTGCCTCAAATTGTTTCTCCTTCCTTGCTTGTTACATCTATGATTCTGGGCTGTGTGATTTTTTAAAAAAGCAAAGAAATTTATCAAGTGATATTATCCAAAATATTTTAAAAAGATAATTTGACATGTGACTGTAACCTCTCTGTACATCACCTTTGTAATAACTGTTTTAAAAAGGGAAAAAAGGTAGTTTGAGGCCAAACATAATTCAAAGCTCTTGAATAGTAAACATTTTCATGACAGAAGAAGAACAAGAAGAAAGGTTATTTTGGGATGTATTGAGATACCCCGCACATAAGGTCTAAGTTGAATGCTCAAATCTAAAGCATTGTAGAGGTGGGCACTGGTGGCTTACACCTGTAATCCTAGCAGCTCAGGAGACTGAAATCTGAGGATCATGGTTCAAAGACCTGAGATCATGTAACTCCAAGGAACTACCAGAAGTGGAGGTGTGGCTCAAGTGGTAGAGTACCAGATTTGAGCAAAAAAGCTAAGGGACAACACTAAGGCCCTGGGTTCAAGCCACAGAACCAGTGTGTGCATGCACACCCACACACCCACACACAGCATTGAAGAAGACATTTCCTGCCTAGATGACAAAGTTCCTTCCAAGTCTGAGATTTTCTAATCTCATAAATCATCACTGAGAAATGGGATGTAGGAAGTGTGTCATGAGACAAACCGTACTTAAGACCAAACATGATAAAGGAGTCTATCAAAAAGAGCCTTAAAGCTGACAGTTCTTTTGCAGCCAAAGAACAAGGAGAAATTTGTGTCTCATATCTTTTTGACATAAATGTTCAATCCTATAATACTCACGTGTTGTCAAAAGCTTCAAGCAATACACTTGAGAACATGTAGGACAGAGGAGATCTTGGTTACCAGAGGGTGAACTGCAATCTTCAATCTGGTGTAGGATGGTAGATGATTCCATTTTTCTTTGAAAGAAAAAAAAGAGTTTTCAGTCAGATGCATGTATGTTTCCTCACAGCTCAAAAATAAAATGTGCAGTGCTCAGCAAAATCTGCAAAGCAGATACTGACAATTTTAGCCTGCTTTGTCAAGATTCTCCTAGTACTTGACAAATTTTAGCACAAATTCACAAACTCCCCAAGATAAAAAGCAGGAACTCAGTTCTTGAAAGAGCTATAATTATTTTTCTTTTTCAGTAACTATCATTTATTGGATTGAGATTAGTGTTGTACTTTATTTATAAAGGAAACATTAATGACCCACTAACAGTCTAGAAAATAATTTCTAGTAAAGGAGTCAGGCTTACTAAAATATAATAATATGCTTTTGTTATTATTGTTGTTGGTGTTGGTCGTGAGGCTTGAATTTGGGACCTGGGCACTGTTACTGAGCTCTTTTGCTCAAGGCTAGCAATCTACCATGTTAAGCCATGGTTTTCTGGTGGTTAATTGGAAATAAAATTCTCATGGACCTTCCTGCCTGTGCTGGCTTTGAACTGTGATCCTCAGATCTCAGCCTCCTGAGTAGCTAGGATTACAGACGTGAGCCAGCAGAGCCCGACTTAATATACTTTTTATATAGCATTACGTACATTGAGTTTAACTCTATGACTATGAAGCACAACCAACATCTGCCTACCTGGGTTCCAAGTTATGCTCCAAGTCTCATCAATATTTGTTGTGATCAACTTGAAAAACTAGTAAAACCAGAGGCAAGAAATGACCTTATAGGACATAATGTGATCAGGGTGCTGGTGGCTCACACCTATAAGTCCAGCTTCTCAAGAGCCTGAGATATGAGGATCATGGTTCAAATTCAGTCTGGACAGGAAAGTCTGTGAGACTTATTTCCAATTAGCCAGGAAAATGCCAGATGTGGAGCTGTGGCCTAAGTGGTAGAGCACCAGCCTTGAGCATAAAAGCCAAGAGAAAGAAGCCTTGCATTCAAGCTCCAGTACCAGTGCATGTGCGCGTGAGCGCGCGCGTGCGCGCGCGCACACACACACACACACACACACACACACACAGAGGACCATACCATGATCTATGACAACAGAGACCAGGGATCATGTCTCTCTTCCCATTGCTATTTCCCAGCAACCAGTATGGTATCTTGAACGCAGTAGGTATTTCATACTGAAATAATTAATGAACTTATTTTCCTTCACAATACCAATAGCTTATCTATCTCCTGTTTCTCCTTGTCCATTTACTTATTGCAAATCCCATTTTTACAAAGATAACTATTCTTAAATACCTCATGTTTTAAAGAATGAATTTAGATGAAAAAGATCATAAGTCTGGGAAAGAAAAATGGTTGTCAAAATGGGAAACTGACTAGTCTTGATATGAAAGACAACATTCCCTCAAGTCAATAGTCATTAATAACAAGGATGGCCTGAAAAAGAGAAATCACAGTCACTGATACTTTTTGCCTCTCCTTGGAAACATTATCCAGGATATGTGCATATCCTACATGCTGGCAAGGTGTCCCCTGTTCTTTTATGATCCCAATACCATTTCTAAACGGAGCTCAGAGTGGCAGATGTCAAGTCAAACAGCTCAGGAGAACAGAATAGAAGGGACTATCTGCAGCTCTCTACAACTCTTCCACCTGCCTCTCACCTTGGGTCTTCTCCAGGCCAGAATACCAACTCCAGTCACAACAATGGTGAGAACATTGGCTCCAAAGACAGTTTTGGTTCTCGATTCTGCAAGCCAGCAAGCAAATGAGGAGAATCCACAAGTCCCCTTTTCTCTTCTAGGTTTCCTTTCTGGGACTTTTGTTCCTGTGATTACCAGAAACCTAACACCTCTCTCACTCATCAAACTGATGGGTAATGGAGTATGTGCTAGTGTTCGCTTGTGTTGAACTTAAGAAAAATTATTCTGCAACACAATAAATAGCAATAGGTATAATTCACATAAACAAAAACCTTTTGGGATTTCAGAAATTTTGAAGTGGGACCAAATGTGAGAATTGCTGATCTAGGAGACCCATGTTATAGCATGTTGGGTGATGCTGTGATGTCTCCTCCTCTCCCTGCAGGCAGCGTGGCTTCCTGATCAGGCTCTTTCCTCAGGTTCACTCCTCAGCCAGCCATGATCCCTGTTCTTACCCTGGATGTCATGAACAACACGGAGGTCAGAGTGCTCCATGTGACAGGAGTAGAGGTTGCTGCCCTGAGGGTCCAGCTCGTGTCTGGTAGGTTCCAACCCCACTGGGAAGAATATCTCCATACTCCACTTCTTCCCCATTTTTCATCCACATTATGGAAATCTGTGGAGGGTAAAAGACAGGAGCTCTGCAGAAGAGAGCTGCAATCCTTGGAAAAGTTTCTTTGTGATTCAGTCTGACCAGGGGAGGTTCTAGGAAGAAGAATATAATGTAAGTACAACTGTCCTGGGTACCTAAGCATCTAGCATTCAAATTTGGCAACTGGATTTCCCAATTCATTTTCTTCACTAAGTACCTAAAAATCAAGAATTTTCCAGAATCAAAGTTCATGATCATTACTGTGTGCTTCCTACTGGGCCAGAGGCTAGGCAATGAAGAATATGAAGGTGAGTCATACTATGTCCTCTAGGGGGTAAAAAGCCAGGTGGCACTCAGTGTTTTGGATGTGTGTTTGTGTGTTGTGACTGTTTACCTTTGAAATACCTTTTTTTTTTTTGTCATGGGGCTTGAACTCAGGGCCCGGGTGTTATCTCTGAGCTTTTTTTTCTCAAGGCGAGTGCTCTATCACTCTGAGCCACAGTGCAACTTCCAGTTTCTGGTGGTTAATTGGAGATAAGAGTCTCAGACTTTCCTGCCTGAGCTGGCTTTAAACTGTGATCCTCAGATCTCAGTCTCCTGAGTAGTTAGGATTACAGGTGTGAGCTACTGGTACACCACTGAAATATCTTTCTGTGTCAAAGAAAAGTACACAAAATGTGTGACTATTCATGGGAGGTGATTTACCAGGAGACTGGGTATTAGAACTCAGTATTCCTCAATCTCAATTTTTGGTTTAGTAACCATCAGCAACATAGCCCCTTTAGCCCAGCTTTGATTCTGAATTGCCTTGGGTGTTCAGGTTGGCATTTGATGGCTGTCACCAGATGCACACAACAGTTAACATTAAATTATGTCCTCAAAGAAGCTACAAAAATTTTCATGAGGCTGGGTGCTGGTGGCTCACATCTGTAATCCTAGCTACTCAGGAGGCTGAAATATGATGATCATCATTCTAAGCTAGCCCTGGCAGTAAAGTCTGGGAGACTCTTATCTCCAATTAACACTAAAAAGCTGGAAGTAGAACTGTGGCTCAAAGTGGTAGAGTGCTAACCTTGAGCAAAAAAAAAACAAAAAAGACCAGCTCAGAGACAGCATCTAGGACCTGAATTCAATCCCTAGGACTGGCACAAAACAACAACAACAACAACAATTCACACAAGAGCTCCAGCAGTGACAAGGGATTGTCCATTTGTGACATTGCTTTCTCATGACTGCGCTGTTAATCTTCCATATGGTGCTGCTCATAACAGTTCTGCTGAAACTGGACTATGGTGTCATATAGAGAGCAACCATAGTGTGGAAGACCTGCTTCCTGATCGTCATCATCATCTCTCCTTTCTTCCACCTTATTATCTGTCATCCCAGTTACAGAAAAGAGCCTCCACCTCAACAATACCCTCGTAGTCTTTTTCCTCGGACATGAAATTTAGTAGGAAAAGGGTCCCAACACTAAAAGTAAAATATTATATTACCAGGAGGAACTGATTTTTGACAGTTTCTGTAACAATCTAATCCTACATTCTTTTCTAGGCACAGGATTTGATCAAAAGGCAGAGATCCCATTCGGACACTCGTGGTAGATACTGAGAAAGCCAGGAGAGGGGAGCAGGTGCACTGAAATCAAACTTCCCACACTTACTACAGCTCAGGTTCCCCGTATTTCTCCAAAGAATTTCTTGCACTGGACCTAATCAGCATAATTAGGATTAACCTTCAAATCTCAGTGGATAGCAACTCTGCTGAAATTTCCCTACTTTTCCTACAATGCTGTATTCGTTGAGGGCTACAGAAAAGGCAATTAGGGGCTCTCTTTGTTTCCAGTCAAAGGAGAGGCAGTGCATCAAGATCAGGAAGTGAGCTCAAGACCCTCTTCACATATGCCTAGCCTTAGCCTAAAATGTCTCAGTAATTAAAGGTACAATGCCAAGTTGGCCTTAGATTTTAACTAGGTCTTAAGTTTTCATTCTTTGGCCAGGCAACAATAATGACATTATGATGTGAACAGAGTCCTACAGATTACTGCTTTGCTGGCCTAGCATCTTAAATACTCCCCCTTTCCCCCTGATAACAGGAACCTCTTCTCCTGACAAACAATAGAATATTTTGGAAAATTACTCCAGTCTACTCCAACAAGTACTGTTATTAAGTATCACTCTTAATCTCCTCTCCCCAACCACCAGCCACATTGTATATATTGCTAGTCTGTCTTTACTAGTCTCCCATTTAATTCCTGACATCCTGCCCAGTGCTTCAGGAGCTTATACTCTTAAGATTGTACCCTTATTGGGCACAGTGGCTCAACTCACACCAATAACGTAGCTACTCAAGAGGTGAAGATTGGGAGGATTATGGTTTGAGGCCAGCCCAAACCAATCCATCTCTACCAGTAAGAAGCTGTGTTTCCAGCTATATGGGAAACAAATCAGAGTATCAAGTTCCAGGCTGGCCTAGGCATGAACTGGAGACCCTATCCCAAAAATAACCAAAGCAGCCAGGCCTGTAATCCTCGCTATTCAGAAGGCTGAGATCCGAGGATCACAGTTCAAAGCCAGCCTAGGCAGGAAAGTAGCCCTATGGCTCCAGTGGTAGAGAACTTGCCTTGAGCTGAAGAGCTTAGGGACAGCACCCATGTCCAGAGTTCAAGCCCCACGACTCACCAAACAACAACAACAACAACAACAAAAAACCAAAGTAAAAAAGGTTGGGAGGTTGCATAGCTCAGGATGTAGGACTTCAGGCTAGTAAAGCACAAGTCCTTGTGTTTAACTTTCTGATCATCCCTTTAAAAAAAACTGAGTGTACCTCTCACAGTGATCCCTGATGCCAGGTTCTCTACCATCCGTGGGGCCCGTGGCTCCTTCTGTCCAGTGACACTGTCATATGTGATGATAGGGTACGAGTCCACATACCCAACAAGAGATAAACTCAGGGACCCCATGGCTAGGATCGGAAATGCCCAGGAGAAAATAGCTGAGAGAATGAGTGCCAGGGAGAGAGCAAGGTAGAAGATAGAGTCACAGAAGACTGGATTTAGAAACTGTGTTCCAGGGGCTGGGAAGGTGGCTCAGTGGTAGAGCGCTTGCCTTGCATGCCTGAGGCCCTGGGTTCGATTCCTCAGCACCACATAAGCAAAAAGAAAAAAGCCGGAAGTGGCACTGTGGCTCAAGTGGTAGAGTGCTAGCCTTGAGCTGAAGAGTTGAGGGATAGCGCCCAGGCCCAGAGTTCAGGCCCCATGACCTGACCCCCCCCCCCAAAAAAAAAGAACTTTAAACTCTGTTCCACAGCGTCCCCATCTTCATGTCTTCATATTCAGTGGTATCCATGACTTCCTGGGCCATTTCCAATAGAGGCCCATAAAATTGAGAGATTCAAATATTTAAAAGGCATGAATCAAGAAGAAAACACAAAACCACCTTGTTAAATATGTTCTATCCTGCTCTTTTGAGGGAAAATCCTTCATGTGACCTTGAAGGCTAAGTTCAAATTTTAACATCTTGGTCTTTGTGAAATTTTGGACCTGAATGTGGCAGCACAGAGAAAACTAGCCTCCATCCTCTAGTCTCTGGAACTCACTTTTTCTTCTCACTTCTGGCTTTACACATCCCTGCTGAAGGCCTTGTACTTACATTTAAATACCCATACTCTCTCATTCAAGCTTCATCCATAAATATGGCCTACTGGCCACCCCTCAGATATAGCAGGGCCTCACAAGCTACCTTTCAGGTGATGGACTAAAGTGAGAGACCTGTATGCACCCACACAGCCCTCAGACATCCGGCAGGGAACTCCAATTCCTGGGGGCATGGAGTGTGTACTGTGTACTGGAGGGGCACAGACACTGGGTGGCCACATCCTCTTAGCCACATGTACCTCTTGTTCTGGGTGATGGGTGTGGACAATAGAGGGCCAGTGTGAGGCTCTGAAGGGTGGCAAAGCCTGTGTTAAAGGTTTGCATTAGCCATCATTTCCCTAGACTCTTTCCAGATTGTCCAACCCAATGCTATTATCCCTTTTGGGAACTCAGTAGCACTTGATTTTCTGATGTGGCTCTTGTCACTGCAGAGAAGCTCGCATAGCTACCAGGTTCCTATTTGTTAGGTTGAATTCCAGTTAATGATATTCTTGCCTGTCTCTCCATTCATTAACATGTAGATGAGGAGAAGAGCCCCAAAGTAAAACGCAACACATAAAATGGTTGGGTTAGCTCTGCAAGGAAGTCTGTATCTATTTAACTTTCTGCTATTGTTTGGATCTTCTAGGTCTGCTATCCCCAAAGTCTTGGTGCCCAGTGTGGCACTACTGGGAGGTAGAGAAACATTTACGATCTCAGGTCTAGTAGAAGATCTTAGGTCACTAGGGCGTGGCATTGAAGGGAATTGTAGGACACCGCCCCTTCCTTGTTTGACTTCCTGGCTACCAAGAGGTAAGCAGTTAGCTTTACCACATGCTCCCACTGTGACGCGCTACCTCATCACAGACGGAAACCTCTAAAACTATGAGCCCCAAATCAACCTTCTCTCCTTGTAAGTTGGTAAGTTCAGGCATTTGTTACAAGCTGACTAACATGCTGCTTATGAAAGAATCTATACTGTGCAGGTCATCTTTGAGTATTGGCCATCCCCAGTCAGAGATCATTTACTTACCTTTACCACTAGGGAAGACTTGATGATCTGAGATAGAAACAGGACTCTCAGGTAACTTCCCTCTAACTACACTGGTTCTGTAGGGCCAATGTGAGCCCCTCTTTCTTCCTGCTCCTTGAATGAGGTGTACAAGTTAGCAGGATTCAGAAAAGGCACTCAGCTGCCTCCTGTCAGACTTCATACTGCATGTGGTGCTGAGCAAGATGAGGGCTGGTCTCTCCTTGGCTTAGGCAGCATAAAGGTCCATATGTTCCTCTCTATTGCTTTGAATTTTCTTTCCCCTTCCCATTCCATGCTGGATGGGGTCAGGGTTGGGCAGCAACACAGCAGAAGCCTCTAAGGTGATCAGGAAGGTTTCTTCTCATAGAAGTGTTGGTTCCTGTGAACACAAGAGCCAGAGATTTGAAGCAGCAAAGTTCTATCACAAAACCAACAGGTCCCATATCTGCTGTTATGTTATTTATCTGTGCCTACTTTCTGTCTTTTTTTTCTTTCTTTTTTTGGGGGGGGAGGGGGTCCGGTCATGGGGCCTGAACTCTGGGCCTGGGCGCTGTCCCTCAGCTCTTCAGCTCAAGGCTAGCGCTCTACCACTTCAGCCACAGCGCCACTTCCGGCTTTTTCTTTTTGCTTATGTGGTGCTGAGGAATCGAACCCAGGGCCTCATGCATGCAAGGCAAGCGCTCTACCACTGAGCCACCTTCCCAGCCCCTTATCTTTGCCTACTTTCTACCTGCTTCTCCATCCTAGAGCATATGGACACTTAGCTCTTTTCTTTTGTATTTCCTGCAAGACCTAACATAGGGAGCATGACACATGTTAGGAAGCTGGTAAATATTTGGTAAAGATTTTATTTCTCTGCTTTGAAAAATAATGCTACAATGAATATGTTTATTTAATCTGGAACTCATGGTTTAAAATATTTTTCATTTCAGGAACGGCTGATGGGTGAGTTACCAATCTGAAATCTAATTTACATCCAATCTGGAATCTGAAAAAGGTAGATATGCTTCAATCTGCAATTGACTTTGAAATTGTGTTCACATCTGGAAGTTTTATAGACACTCTGGAGATAAATCTGTTCAAAAATGGAGGCAAAGGGAAGGGCAAGTCATAAGCATTAGCTTGCCTCCCTCCCTCCCTCCCTCCTTCCTTCTCTCCCTTCCTTCCTTCTTTCCTTCCTTCCTTCCTTCCTTCCATCTTCCTTCCTTCCTTCTTTCCCACCTTCCTTCTTCTCTCTCCTTCCTTCCCTTTCTTTCTCCTCTTTCCCTCTCTCTCTCTCTCCCTCCCTCCCTCTCTCTCTCTGTCTCTCTCTCTTTCCCCCCCTCACTCCCCTCTCTCTCCTCCCCCTGGTTTTAATACAGAGTATCTCTATGTAGCTCAGGCTGGCCTAAAACTTGCTATATAGCTCAGGCAGGCCAGAAACTCATGATCTTCTCACATCAACCTGAGTACTAGGATTACAGTACTATAGTTTGCACATATTTCCTTTTTTTTTTTTCTTTTGGTCGGTCGTGGAGCTTGAACTCTGGGCCTGGGCGCTGTCCCTCAGCTCTTCAGCTCAAGGCGAGCACTCTACCACTTGAGCTACAGCGCCACTTCCGGTTTTCTGGTGGTTTATTGGAGATAAGAGTCTCACCGTCTCTCCTTCCCCAGGCTAGCTTTGAACCGCGATCCTCAGATCTCAGCCTCCTGAGTAGCTAGGATTACAGGCGTGAGCCACCAGCGCCCGGCTGCACATATTTCCTTTATATTCACTTATATATTCAACATATCTGAGCATTTTGTCTGTACTAGTCACATATAGATTTTGAGCACACACCAAACCAAACAGATACAAATGTCAGTCCTTATGGCACCTACACTCTAGGAGGGAAAACAGGAAAAAAGACAGCTAACAGAAAAATAAATATTAGATGTGTTTTTAAAGTGCAGTGGTGAAAAATAAAGCTGTAATCAGAATAAATTATACAATTTTAGACAAGGAAACCTGTTAGGAAAGAAGCCTCCCCCCAAAAGTGGTTATTAAGCAAGGCCCAGCAGGGGGAAGACAGGTAGGTATCTGGGACAACAGTCCAGGCGGAAGAGACTTCAGAAAGGAAAGAGCATATGCGACCAGTTCCATGAGCAACAAGCAGGCCTGGGCCTGGAGCTGAGGCACGAGGGGTGGAGGAAGAGGTAGACATTACTTTCATGGTTATCCATAGGAAAAACCACTACTGAAAAGATTTTAGGCTAAGTATAGGAAGAGGGGAGAAAAAGGAAGGGGAAAAAATGCCATGTTATCAAGCAAAGTTGATCTAGAACTTCCCCTGGAATGTAGGGTTTCTGTTATAGTAATCTAAGGTTCACATTCTTCATAGATGCCAACAAGCGAAAAGAATTTGGGCCATTAACTTCCACAATGGTAGGGCTTATTCTAGTTCTCAATATCATCTCTAAACACTTTATTTATCATTTGTACTTTCTTAGTGTATTAGTCAACTTTCCATGGTTATAACAAAACGCCTGGAGTAACTAAACTTAAAAAGAGAAAGGCTTTATTTTGGTGCACAGTTTTGGAGGTTCCATGAACAATTGTCTCATTGCTTCAGGCCTGTGGGAAGGCAGCACATTATGGTAGGAACATGGGGTAGAACAAAGCCACTTATATCATGAGCCCAGCAGCAAAAAGGAAGGAAGGAAGAGGCCAGAATCCCATAATGCTTTTCAAGGGGATGGCTCCAACAGTCTGAAGATCTCTCATAGGGTCCAGCTGTAAAAAGTTCCATTTTCTCCCACCACCACTACTCTGGCCACAATGTCTTTAACACATGGGTTGGAACGCATTCGAGATCAAAAATACAAACTTTACTGCCTTATAAAAATATAACTTCATAAAATTCTGCATTTGGTGAAATAAGAAGTAGATATAAGTAAGATCTGACCTACAGTATAGTTTCCATTGTTTGACTCCAAACTCAGTCTAGTTTCTGGTTTTGGAGAGCCTTGACTTCAAAGGCTGCTGGTCTCTTAAAGGCTGGACTCTGTCTGCTGTCTTCTGTCTACCCCTCATAGCCTATACAACTCTGCCCTTTCCTCTTCACTGGCCATGGGTGCATTTACCCATATGGTACAAGGCACAAATCACACTAGCAAATCATACTAGCTCCTTTATTTTGACTTCCAAATGTTACTTCACTGTGATGGGATATTGACTTACAGATATGAAATCAGTAACTGAGATCAGAAAAGGAAGAAAAGTTTCTGGTTCTCTTTCTGTCTCTGTCTCTCTCGAGCACTTTCTCATAGCATGATAGATCTTGTGATCATTGACCACCTACCAAGATATGTGGCCC